AGCGCTCTACCAATTGAGCTAACAAGCCAACTGGGAGCGGGCCGTTCGGTTGATTCGTAATAAACCCGTGATGATAAATCAGATACAATGAATATATGAAATTCAGGTCTTATTTTCGCTACTGCATATATAGCGCTCTCTACTGCGAGGATCGTGCATCATACGTATCTATAACCGCAGTTCAAAATATATGAACTTTCATAAATTCATTGTACCAGTATGGAGAATATGCATACTGAGGTTAGGTTGTAAAAGTTGAAGAGAAACTCTTTGAGCGTCAATCTTCACCTGTGTGTTTTATCATCGCAAGCACTAAACGACAACCCGACAGGGGTCCCCTCAGTTGGTACGCTGTCATTAATCATTGGCTTGACGCACATTTCAGAGCATGCGTGCTGAAGGGAGCCATCCTTGAGTAGAAGAAACCATGACGAGTCACTTAAACAGTCTGTGTCAAATACTAGAATTTCTGATTCATTGACTACACAAGAGTGGGATTTGGGGCTGATACATAGTCCATTCGGGCTTCTTAGTGGACTGTGCTTTGGAAAACCTGAACAAAAGGAAAAAATCTTCTTTTCATCCATCTTTTCGTCTATCCGACTAGCCTACCACACATCGTTTCCAGCCCTTCCTCCCTCCTCCAACCTCCCGTCATCTGGTCTGTGTATCGTCTGTCTGTCTTTGAGTCTATCTAAATCTATATGCCTTTTGTCACAGTTGCTGTGATCTGATTGGCTAAGCTCTTGGATATCTACTCCTTTAGTAGATGGGAATCAAATAAACAGCCCGATTAGTGTGCTGTTACAAAATGAAAAAGGAAAAAAACAAGACTCATGCTGTTCAGTTTTGCTCGATTGCGATTGATCATTCGTTCTCGATTTATATGCTCAAAGTTTATTCGGGTGCCTTCCTCGTCAACTATCACATTAAATGCAAATTTCGAGCTCTTGGTATAATTTACCAAACACCATCACTCAGTTACGAAGCTGAACAAAATTAACTGCTTCAAGTTGCCTTTAAGTGATAACCAGGAAACGTGAGATGTCGATGCTAGTTCAGAACAGTCATGAACATGGGCTCTTTCATCTGCGTCACACAGAACTAGTGACAGACTGCATGCAAAGGATATGTAACCAGCGAGGGTAATTTTGATTCACGCAGAGAAAACTCGCTTCCCAATGATGAAAGTGGTAATTGCTCGAGCCCCTCCTGATGGTTACGCAAAACGAAAAAAGGCGATTTGACCTATAAAGATATTAAAAGGTAAAACCCTGGATGGGAAGTATTTAGATAACTATTGTATCCTGTTCAGCTGGTTTCGCTTCTTGTGTTTTTTCCAGTTGGCGTTTTTTCAATGGCTTAGAAAAAGCAAACACGATTATTGTTCTCGATGGTCTCAAAAACCGTTGTGAGATGTACGTAGGATTTCATATTTGTCATCCCTAAAAAGAATAACTATCTAACGTCAAAATTCCTTTCGCGAGACAGTCATAAGAGTTCAGTGCTAACGAATGTTAGATCATATTTAAATGGATGGGATATCTAACTTTTTGTTGTTCGTTTTAGTAAATTAAAAGTCCGGAAAAGTTGTTTATTCAGTTGCTATGAAAATGAAAGAAATTGAATAGGAACCTGCTGTGTGGCAAAGAATGAATTCGAGAACCGTCTGGATTTGTCTGAAATTTTGCCATTCGCAATGTATGTTAATTTTCTCCATAACAAAAGCAATTTTCACTATGGAGAGTCGAAAGGAATTGGGGATTACTTCGGTTTTCCTTTGGGGCGCTCTTTGACTGAGTGTCTTAAAACCAAAACTCAGGCGATCATAACAGCCTCTCAGAAGAAAGGACTGAATAACCTTAAGAACCAATGAGAACTCAATGTAACAGACCACACTGCCCAAAACGTAGGTGACCAAGTCGTAATTGGTTTTAGTTTTTTATCTGATTGGTTGAGAGAGAAGTGCGATTTTTTTGGACCAATCGCAGAGCAGAGTGAATCAAAACAATATAACTTCGAATTATCTCGACATTCAATTGGGACTTAGTCATACATGTTTTCTCGCATATCATTAGTGTGTGTGTGCTTGTGTGTGTGTGTGCGTGTGTGTGTGTGTGTGTGTGTGTGTGTGTATGTGTGTGTGCATTTTTTCCTTTCTTATGATCGACCTTTGTGACTGCTCTAGTTGGTTTTTACGAAACCTAGTCGGAATAAGTCTTTCCCAACCCTTATTACATTAGGCTTGCTCCAACTTCGGTGGAATTTTTCTTTTTCTTTTTTTGTTTACCTGCAGATAAGAGAGCTTTTCGAATGGATGGCGTAAAACCAAACTAAAGTATTAAA